TGTGACAAAAAGAATTTAAAGACAGCACTATTATCTGAAACAATCTCACAGGTGAAGTAAAGCGAACAGTGAGGTAAAATTTCCTAAATTTACTTTAGGAGGTGAGCAGAGCCTGTGACACTAGCAGAAAGGAGCAGTTACCTGGCAATGAAGCATTGCCCACAGTATGGCCAATCCTGATGCCCCTGCATGCATACACTAGTGTTGAACAGCCGAGGAAATGGAGAGAGATGGTGGAAGCCAGACTGCTCACTGTGAGAGTGAAAGTTACAAAGAAGCAACGAGAAAGGTCTAGAATGATCCTTGTACTGATGTGTTAGGGTTGCAGGTAAAAGAGGCTCTTCAAGTGCAGATCAATATAAACGTAAATGGATATACATAGAGATATTTATGTGTTTATGTGTATGCACATTTCAAGTCAGAATGCACACCCGTACCTTCTTGTTCCATCAGTCAAGGGAGGGGCCAAGAAGTATTAAGGTCTTACTAGCAATAAATGCCAGCTGCCAAGACTTTGGTTTCTGATACTATTCTCCATAAGAAGAATGGGCTAGCAGAGGAGTGTCTGAATCTAGCACTGCCCCAGGAAATAGAGAAAGAGAATAGTTTGAAATACACAAGAAGGTTAAAATGTGCTCGTGGGTAAAAAGAAAAACAAGGTATAAAATCATGAAGGTTGTCTGTTACAAGTGTCAATTCCAACAGTTCCCAGAGGTCAAAGATGGTAATTTTTAGCAAGAAATAAAATATCATTTAAAGTATAAAATAAATACCCATGAAAACTTAGCGATTGCATACAGTAAAGTCCCAGGTAGACTTTGGACATACCCTGCCTTTAAAGAGATCGATACTTCTTAGCTGTTAAATATTCATGGTACATTCTTGCTCTATTCCAAAGAGTAGAGTCTAGAAAGGGAGGAAAATGTAAGCTCAAAAAGTGGAGAAACCTATCTGGGACAGAAGGGCGCTAAGGAAAAACTGAGGATGTGAGCAAAGACCATACTTAATGATGATATATTGACATTAAAACCTGAGCATCGTGATACAGGAAATATCATCTTCATCATTTCCCATAAGATCACATGATCTGAAATGCGAGGTTATTTTAGACAACTGCACAGAACTGGATAACAGGTGATCTCACTGACTTATTTCTCACCTGTTGATGGTTTCTCCTTTTTAATTTAAAATGATTGGTTCTTAGCACTTTGTAAAGAGTGAATAACAAGGACATCAGAGCAGGAATATCTGGCTGCTTCCCTCTTGCTTTTCTAAATGGCCATAAATTTGAGTGTCTTGTTCTTCCATTTTTGGCTGGTGTCTCTAAGAGATTTCACCTGTGAGCAATCAGCTAAAGTGTTCTGGAAATGAAAGCCTCGTCACAGACGATGACTCTGGCTTTTGACAATTCCCATAAGTAAAGGGTGATTGGCAGAGATAGCTGTACTTTCTCGACTGTCACCACCATTGCTTCTTTCTTTCCCAGACAATGTCCAGAAGGGTACATCTGTGTGAAGGTTGGACGAAACCCCAACTATGGCTACACAAGCTTTGACACATTTAGCTGGGCCTTCTTATCCCTGTTTCGACTCATGACCCAAGACTACTGGGAGAATCTTTACCAGTTGGTATGGACAAAATTTATTCAAGTGGGATTTGTGTTGATGAACTCATACAAAGTGCTAAATACTACTTTATAACACTCAGGGACATTAAGGAGGTCACAACATTAGACAGACTGTCCCTAGAGTGTTCTATACTCTCCTCTCCTCTCCTCTTCTCCCCCTCCCTTCCCTCTCTTTCTCTCGTTTCCCCTCTCTTCCCCCATTGCCTCTTCCTTGCCCCCATAGCACTCATACACACACTCACATATACACACAATGTAGTGAGTTTCATAGATAAAAGACCCTCTGTCTATGGCCTTCCTTCTGGAAGTACAGATATTTAAAAATAGATATAGAAGAAACATACAGGGAATGTATTACATAAAGTACATATATTCATATAAACATACAAACATACTCACATTATGCAAATGCATGTATGGAGAATTTCTTACATAAATGACATTTAACTAAATCTATAAACTGGCATTTACAGTGTTGTCCTGCTTTTGGAACCCTAATAATGATACTTTAATGTAGATTAAGTCCCATTTCGAAACGTATTTATGCCAAATGATATGGCAGTCATACTGCTGATAAACTGATTGCAATGTTTGTGTGTGCATATTTGCTCATTTTTAACACCAAAGACTATTTGGTCAAAATAGTTGGATTTTAAAAACCATCAAGCTCCTGGTTTCTAGCTATTGCAGTTCCGATTTTTTTTTTTTTTGGATATTATATTTACATTTCAGATGTTATCCCCTTACCCCATTCCCCCCGACGAAGGAACCCTCTATCCCATCCCCCCTCCTCCTGCTTCTATGAGGATGTGCCCCGACCTACCCACCCCCAGCAGTTTTGATTTTTATTGGGGGATATTATAGTAAAATATTAATGAAATTATCGGTTTTCTACAACAGACATTGCGTGCAGCTGGGAAAACCTACATGATATTTTTCGTCCTGGTAATTTTCCTGGGCTCATTTTATTTGGTGAACTTGATCCTGGCTGTGGTGGCCATGGCCTATGAAGAACAGAACCAGGCCACGTTGGAGGAGGCAGAGCAGAAGGAGGCGGAGTTTCAGCAGATGCTGGAGCAACTTAAGAAGCAGCAGGAAGAAGCTCAGGTATGGGGTAACAGTTGGTTCCTTACTGCTCTTTTAGTTTCTTACTAGAGATCTCTGCCTGTGGTAACTGAGCTGGAGCTACCATTTTGTCTTGTGCATAGCTATTGACATTAGAAGACTCCAAGCCACTCAAACTTAAAATTGTTCATAAAATTGGAGTCACATAAAAATTTTAGACATCATAAAGTAATTAGCTACCAGGCTGGAATACAACAGGGATGAAGCTTATTATAAAATATTCTTATGGAAACTGAGAGTAGATTTTAAGAAACATAATTAAGATTTCCAATTACTAATGTACTATCTCAATAGCAACCTTTGATTCTGTGTTCTGTAGTTAATTCATCTCTAAATTTTTCTAGAAACCTCTGTGAATGGCTGCGTTTTAAAGGCTCCTTTGGAGTTTCTATATTCTGTTATTCAAACTAAGGTACCAGAAAGGCATCTAAAATTAGGTAGTAATGTTTTTTTCAATACTAAAGTTTATCTAGGCTACAGATATAGTGACTGAGACATTCATACTTTGAAGGGGTGGGAACACAGGATTGGATTAAAAGATGTGTGTGGGCACTCTAGTTACTGCAAGATGAAGGCTGTGGGCAGACATACAGGAGACTGACCAATGTCTGTTATTGAGGCCATTCCTTGCTCCACGCCTCCCATCACTGATAAGGTTGGGCAAATCTAGTCTTTTCATGAGTCTTAATTACAAGTATTTCTTTACAGTTATAACTTGTACTTTTCTAACAACTAACAAAGCAGAACAACTTTCTGTGTTTTTCTTTTCTAAAGTTTGTGCTGAAACCTTCAGACATTTCATCTTCTTTCTTTTACTTCTATTTGGCTTTGTATTCATTTTTAAGATTGTTTATCTTCTTATGGAGTCTGACATGGTCATTCTGCACTATAGGCACAAGTCTTTGACATACGTATGCTTTGCTGGAGCTGGTTTTCCATTTATCTGATAATAGGTTTAAAGCAAGTGGTCTTATTTTCATTAAGCAGAGTTTATTACATTTCTTTGATTTTTTTTAGATTTAATGCTTTTGGTATGACATCTAAATTATTTTTAAATAAGTGCCTCAAATTTGTCCTTATATGGTCTCCCAAAGTTGTACAACTTTCTGCATTACCTTGTGCTCAATTCACAGTCTAAGTGAATGCATGTGCAAAATATATATTCTGTTGTCTATATTCTGTTTTGTATACATAGGAAGGTAATTATTTCAAAGCCATTTGGGGATTACAATATCATTTCTCTGCTAAATTGACATCGTATTTTTGTCAAAAGCTAGTGCCTCTGTGGGAATCTGGTTGTATACTCTAATCTGGCTAGCTGGTGTATTCATTATAGTGTCTCTTGCATCAGCACTGTATTCTCTGAACTGTTGTATTTATAATGAGTTTTATAGATGTCTGTGTTATACTATGTCTTTGGTTTTCTTTTCAAAGATATTTTGATTCTTTGTAGTTCCAAATGAGTTTCAAAACAAGCTTCTCTACTTCAGATTAGATAGTTTCTATCTCAATATCTTCATGTTGACCATCCTTTTCTATTGTTGCCTAATTTGCTGTTAGTTTTATCTAGTCTCCTTTTCTTCCATTTACTTACACTACTTTTCAGACATTGTGACTGCCCCTGAGTAGTATAATCTTAAACATGTATGGGGCAGTTGTAGCATCGCTTTAATGTTTTTGTCTCTTGTCTGTTTCCATTTCTGGTAGGCTTTGCTTAATTTTTGTGTTTATCATGTGTTTCAGTTTTTTCCTTTTTAAAGTTCTGAAAGTCCTAGACTGAATTCTAGAACGTTCATTTGGGATTTGTTAGATATTTTTGTATTCCTATAAAAATCGTTGGTCTTTGTGATGAAACATTTCCAACATGAATTAGCAATTTGATGTTTCGTATCTTCTAACATTTGAAGATTTGGAAGATAGGACCAGAGTAGTATTTAACATAAAGATGAGTAGTCACCCGCAACTGCATGACAACCCTTCCTAAATACTTCACTCAATATTCTTTAAAATGAAATGCTTATCAATGCAAGTGGTCAGTACACACATAGCTTTTGTGTGAGTGGGGGAATGCCTTATCTCTAATATTCACCTCAGGAAAACACACACACATGCACACACACACACACACAGAGGGGGGGAGGGAGGGAGGGAGGGAGGGAGGGAGAGAGAGAGAGAGAGAGAGAGAGAGAGAGAGAGAGAGAGAGAGAGAGAGAGAGAAGCTGAGTAATCTGAGTACTCAAGTTGGATCTCAGAAAAGCTCCACGATTCTTTCTTCTGTTAGCCCTTTCCTTATGTATCTGTTCCAAGAACCATAGCCACCTTGGTTAGCCTGCATTTTTATCTCCAACTCCCCCACTGAGGAAGTGTACAGAGATACCTTTCCACTGCATTTACATCTACAAGTCCAAGATTTTATAACTTTCAGCACTACTGGAGCTTTGGTGCTTTACCATTTCCCAGTGATTTAGAACATCCTGACTAGAGCTTTTGTGTCTTCAGAACCATCACCTTACCTTCATTTTCGTTTTTTTATTTTAGGAAAGGGAAAAATCTAGCTCCTGCTCTTCTGGCTGGACCAGAAGTAAAAGTCCATGTAAAATGTTTTACCTATCAGCTTTTTATAGCTTATTTGTTTGTTTGTTTGTTTCAGATGAATAGACATAGATTTTTTTCATTACCATTAGAATTACAGTGGATAATTGGAATTTATAGAACCAAAAATTAATTTTTCAACAATTCTGAGTTACTTGTAAATGCTACATAGATAACACATAGTAAAATAGTCTGTTTCCCCTGAAATGCAACTACTTTCTGGTAAAATTTGACATAAATTTAAAATGTTCAGTCTTTTAAACTTGAGAAATGAAACTCTAAGCTAGGTTTAGACTACTATAAATAATAAGAGTTTAAAGGAGTTGGTTGTCTACCTCATATTTAAATCACCTAAAATGTGCCATTCTCTACTAAATTGTCAATTATTGAATCATCAACAAATCAACATTATTGGATATAATGTTAACTTTCCATCACTTAAAACATAGCTTAGGGGAGGGGGGGCATTTGAAATCAGAGTACCAAGTTCATTTTAGTTTTTTATTGATAACATAGTTAATAATGATTGGTGAATGATGGGGAGGGGAATGGAAAGTTACCTGGTGCACCATGAGGTTGTGTTTACTTCAACGAAGCTCAGATCTTTCCATTACTTAGGACCTTTTAGAGCATGCCTTCTAGCCAATGACCTCATGAAACACAGCACTGCTTTCATTTGTATTTAATGTTTGTCAAGGGTCCTGTAGGCTTAATCATTTTGTAGAAGTGAAATTTAGCCTATTCCAGGCTCATTAGGTCTACTGGGATTAGAGAAAGCTGTAGAATTCAATTTGAAATCATATTTAGTAGATCTACTAAGAAATGGTAGACCTGAAGCATGTATAGTTAATGCCTTATTACTTTGAACGGGGTTTTAACTTGATTCCATGTTTAAAATGAAGGATTAGTCATGTGACTGTGTTGTTAAGGACTTCAGATACAGTATATGTTATACGGTTTGAGTCATAAAGAATTGACCTAAGAAAACAGTCAGCACTAACTTGTTATTGGTTATAAGTGGAATTTAGGATGTTAGTTGTGAACGATTGACTATTAACTGGGGCAACCAGGAAGTTGGCAGTATCACAAGGTAGGGCACAAACAGGTGCATGGATAAGAGCAACGACAGGAAACATCTGCCTTTGAGGGAGTCGGCCAAGCTCTGAGAGCCCAACCAGTGACAGATTTGAGCTGATGAGTGACATGGAAAATGTGTTGTGTTGGAAGTTGCTTTTGTTGCCTTAAAAAAAAATCTGTTTTGGTTTTGAATTGTTTGAACTGTTACCGAGAATAGGCAGGGAAATTGTGTCATATGCAAAACAAACTCCAGAAGTGATTTTAGTGAATGGTAATTTCAGGACCGCGGCCTGAGGGTGTAAGCACTATTTCCTATGTTTCTGGGGACAAACAACTCGATAAATGATCATCTCTAGCAGTTCTGTGTCTGTGTCTCTCTAGAAAGAAGGAAGCAAAACTAGGACTTTATTTGGATAGAGCAAAGATATATATGTATTCATTCATTCAACAATACATATTATGTACCTCTTATGCATAACACATTCTATGCTGTGACTTGCTGCCAGAAAGTACTTTATGGACTTGCTTTATTGAACAGAAATGGTTATATCATGCAGTGTCTTCACTCTTCCTCATCTGTCTGCACAATTTAACAAATGATAGACAACCAAGAATCCAAAGAAATATCTACTGTCTTACTATCATAGCATGTTATGAACAGACAAATGCTGCGAAAGCGTTTCAGTTACTATATGTAGGCCTTGTTTCATATCAATGCTTAAATCTGGGACCCTTCATGGGTCCAGTGCTTGATATAAACACATATCCAAATTAAAGACATGACTCAGTATCCATCATCTCACTGAGATCCTACAGATCCCAGAGAAGCTGCAACATGGTGTTTTATAGTTTTAGTGAACATAGTAGAAAAACAAAATTACTAAAGAAGGCTTGCTTTTTCTCAGGAAGGGACAAAGCACCCAGCGATGACAAAATTTGTTAAATAGGTTTTACTTGTATCCCTTTCTAAAACATAGTGCCTCTACACACACCGGTCTCACACAGCCATCCATGAGACCTTGAAAACCAAGGCTAAGCTGTCCCCCATGTACACCATTGTCAGACAGTTGATAGTAAGATGCCTTTTAAATCTTTGCTCACAGAACATTTGCTGAGGGCTTTCTAGGTAGGTGTCATACCAGCCACTGTAAAGGAGTGAAATGCTCATGTGACTTCCAAGAGAAAGAAAGAAAAAGAATGATAGATATGTTAAAATCATTTATACTTGATAATGATACATGTAAAAAGTGTGACCAATATTTTCTTAATTTAACTTTTCCACTCTGAGCTTATGTTTAAAAAACAGGAACATACTTAATGGGCACTTGGCTTAATACGTGTTATGTTGTTTCATATCCTTGCTAAGGCATGGTTAAATCATTTCCAGCCTAAAATTATTATTCTTACAGTAAAAATGCAAAACATTTGCCTTTTTTTTTGCCACAGTCCTGGCTTTGTTTCATTGACAAATCCAGAAATTCAAAATTTATAAGAATTCATGACGCGGAGATACACAGAAAAAAAAATATGAGATGTTCTCATACTCTTAAAAAAGTTAGTGAATTGTCTATTGATAATGCTCATCTTTCATAACATGAAATTTGTAAGCATTTAAAATTTTACAACCAAAAGTGATATGCCACACTGTCTGGAATTAAAACATAGGACTAGGTGTAACCCCAGCTAAAGATGAAAAGGACCTGGTCAATCCGCGATGGCCCTCCCATGTAAGGTCAAAGAGCCACAGACTGAAAGTTTGGGTTGGGTTGGGTTTGGGATGGGGCCCATGTAGCCCAGGCTGGCTTCAAATTCTCTGTCTTCCTTTCTCTGACTCCCAAATGCCAGGGTTACAAATGTATGCCACCACACCCTGAGCTTTAAATGTCACAAAATTCAAAGAAAAGCAAACAAATGAAGTAGGACTACGAGCTTATTCACAACCACACAGAAGAGGCACAGTCCTGGGAAGAAGAGAAACAGCGGTCAAAGAGGATCTACCTCTGAGGAAACGGGCTTTTAATGTATTTCTTTCAGGTCAGCAAGTGTCTCCTGAACTAACCTCTAAAGAATTTAGCATTAAAGGCCGGTCCAAAGCAGATGCTACACTGGGCTGTTCTTGCTTTAATGTACATTGTGTTATGCTCTTTAAAAAGGTAAAGGTTATTGTCAAGTAAACTAGAAGGCAAGATTCTCCCTTCTATTGATCAAAGGTGGCAGCACACTGGCCTGCATTCCTACTGCCAGGGGCTTACTCTAAGCGTCTTGTCTTGATTCTCAACAGGCAGTGGCTGCAGCCTCGGCGGCATCCCGAGACTTCAGTGGGATAGGAGGGTTAGGAGAACTTCTGGAGAGTTCTTCAGAAGCTTCCAAGTTGAGCTCCAAGAGTGCCAAGGAGTGGAGGAACCGGAGGAAGAAGAGGAGACAGAGGGAGCACTTGGAGGGAAACCACAGAGCCGAAGACAGGTTTCCCAAGTCGGAATCTGAAGACAGTGTCAAGCGAAGAAGCTTCCTGTTCTCCCTGGATGGGAACCCGCTGACCGGCGACAAGAAGCTGTGCTCTCCTCATCAGGTATTGAGGTCTGGTGCTCTGTAAATCACTGCATTGGGTTTTGATAGATCTCTATAATGTGTCCTTTGAGTGACAGGGTGGTGGCATCATCAAGTTATTTTAAAATCTATCATTAATGTCTTAGAAGGGGATTTTGAAAAATCGACACAGGCAAAACTTTAAGATAATTGTCATTAAACGTTTTACAATTTTGAGAGCATATCATTTAATTTTTTTTTTAAAAAGTATAACCTGTTTCTCAAATTATTTCACTAGGATTATATAGGAAGCCACTATTCAAATAGTTTTCCCTTTTTAAGTACTCTGATAAATTTGGCTTCTTTATGAACCTTCTGCTTTGACTATAGGAAATAATATTATAACATATATATGAGTTCTGGAAAGGAATGTCTCTTGAGTTGACTGGTTTTTTTTTTTTTTTTTGCATGAAAACTCAATTTAGGAGTCTCCATTGTCATGACATGTTACATAGGAAAGAAGAATTACAATCTAACTGCTCTTGAAGAGGGAACATTAAACTTAGTCAGTCAGTAGTGGGAATTAAGGTCAACCATCCAATTCACAGTACCAATGTTAGCATATATTTAGGCCAGAAACAACAAAGTAGTTTTGACTTTTTAACTTAAATAAGGGTTACAAAATTCAAATAGCAAATAGTAGTATTGAAATCCAAGATAAATGCCATTGTACTTTGAGGTCTACTTTATCTTCTAGTACAGTGTGTGTCATAAATTATAAACTCTTCAATTACATTAATTTACTCAAAAACTATACACAATTTGAGTGCCTGAGGATGATAGTAAACAACCAATTTGAAGCAAAAACAACAAATAAAAAGATGTAAGTCAACCACAGAGTATAACATTCTCCTAATAAGGAACAATACTTCTAGGAAATTAATAGTGACTGTCATAAACTTTGACAAAAAGACAGTGGCAATCACAAATTTTATCTAAGTAGAGTACTTGGTTATTTTCTTGTTTTGATTTTGTTCACTTTTAGACAGGGTCTCACTATGCAGCCCAGACTATCCTTGAACTTTAGCCTTGAATTCTCTGTTTTAAAAAGCTGTGTAAGCATTATGTAGGAATCCTTTGTAATTAAGGAAAAGCTAAAGCTGATGACTTCTAATGAACGAGACCAAAAAAGTGTTCAATGGTTTCAATCATTTATGAAGGCACACGCATATTATTGATGCTTGCATGACAATTGTATGTCACTTGAAAGTGGGATTATTTCCCTTCTTGTCTAAAAATGTGCACATTGCTTTCTTCAAGCAGCAAATATTTATTAAGCACTGTCTTGGTTTCTTTTCCAGTAGCTGTGATAACAAAAGTACCGTGTGAGGATGGGCTTATTCTGGCTTAGGAAACCAGGTGATAGTCTGTCATGGCAGGGAAGTCAAACAGGAGCTGGGGATAGCTGGTTCTATGTCATCCATAGTCAAGAAACAGAGCCACGATTCTTTCATTTGCCACCCTCTCTCTTTTCCTTCGGTTTAGGACTCAGCCCATGGGTGGTGCCACTCACACTTAGGGTTGGTTTTCTCCCCTCGGTTAACTCAATTAAGACAATCCTCCACACAAATATTCAGAGGCCCATTCTTGAGGCAATTAAAGATTATATTAATTTGAGAATTAACACTAATCATCACAATTGCCATTTATGCAACAGGAAGCTCTCTAGATGTTGAAAATTCCTTAATGAAAAATGAGATTCCATTCACTGATATAATGGAACTTTATTCTAAAAGTTGATGCAGTAATCATGCCAGACATGCTATATGCTATCTTGGATGGTGATCAATACTGTGGGAACAGGAGCCGTATAATTGATGGTAAAATTTTAAGTTGGATGGTTTGAAATGACATTCAAAGATTTTGGAAAGTCAAGGGAAGAAGATATATCATGGGACTCCCTTCCGAGTCCAGTGTAAGGGATGTTGTAAAATCCTCAAGTGAGAATATGCCCACAACCCTCACAGAGCAATGAGGCTTGGATAGTTGGTGCTGGGGGAGTCACAGGAGAGGATAGAGCAGAAGGAAGGTAACTGGTCGTTAATATTTGAACACTAAAATCAAAAGTAGTATGTCCATATGAACAATCCCTTGTGTGTTTGTAGATAGATGGATGAAAGATGACAAATGATGCTGGGTTAGTTGGGTAAATAGCTAGGTAGATAGACCTTCAAACGTAAAGGGAATACCGATGAGCACTGACTCTCCAAATCTAGCTGTAAAAGAAAGCATTAATACAGTACTGCCAAGCAGGACCATGCCAGACACTCTTTACAGTGTTTGTTTTGTAAGTATCAAAAGGCTTTCCGTTCTATGAAAGAGAGTCTGAGAAGGCAACAGGAACATCAAACACTGATTGACTGGGCATACTCTTCAAAACAATATAAATCTCCTGAAGAAAAGTCCTGAGAATGTCAAAGCTCAGATACCATAAGTTATGGGCACCCTGTCTTCCTCTACTGATAGGAATTTGCATGTTATTTTACATTTGTTGAATTATTTACATTTATAGGCATGACACATAGTCATTGTACATCATGAAATTAGTTAAAGATGGAGAATGGGGATTCTTCTTCCTCAGGACTTTTATCCCTGCTGTGTGGACACACTGGGACCATGTACTTTAAACCAGGGGCTTATAGCTATGACTAAATATAGTTGCTGATGTATTTAAGTTGAGATGTGGCACAAATGAGTGTTTCCAACAAATATACATCCTACAAAATCTACTCAAACACCTGTTAATTCCCTGCATCTTCTTCATTGTTCTCAACCCACGTTGGGTTTAGACCTTACATATTGTGTTATGTCACAGAGAATCAGTGCTTACATTTATCTTTTTTTATTGAAATTTGAGAAAAAGTCCACGCACTTATCTTTGTAGTACAGAGGAAAACAAAATGAAGCCAACACCTGTAATTTATGTTCTAAGAGGCATGAGGCAAGGCGAAATGGTCCTTTAGTTCAGCATAAAAGCTTTCTCTAGAAAAAAAGCTTGCCACAGCTGCGGGTATTCCCCTAACTCTGCTGCATCTTACAAGTGTGTTATTTTTGGTTTATTTTCTCTGAAGACTATTTTTGTTATCTTCTTTTTCTGGTTCTGTTGCCTTGAAAGCTGTGCCCACACCCATTATTATACTTTCCAAAGAGTGAAAAGAAGTTCAAATAAACTTAAAGATCTAGACCGCCTCTGAAAAATACCCAGACATAAAAGCATGCCAGTTTAAGGCATGTTCAGATATGTTATAGATGTAAAACTATAGCACATACCCCCAAGGCTTGTAATATAAGCAGATTCTCACTTCCAGAGACAGTTTTAGAACACAGGTAGATTAAGATTATTATACTTATCCTTTCTAGAAATTAATGTAAGTTGTACCAGAGAGAAATGTAAGTTTATACTTCTCTGGGTATAGAGATCCATCTGTGTTTGGAATCGGCTGGAAGGTGGGTTGAAAATCTAAGTTATGTAATCATATCTATTATGTCTTCACCATGAGGGGTGTGTGTGTGTGTGTGTGTGTGTGTGTGTGTGTGTGTGTGTGTGTGTGTATGTGTAACAAAACATTGGAGACCGGGTGGTTTATACAGATCTGTATTTTGACATCTAATCTGGAGGCTGGAACATGGTGATAGCTTCATCCTGGTTTCTGAGAAAGCCTTATGAGTGGAAGGGCAAATGACCTCATTGAGAAGAGAAAAGAGGGGAACAAACTCTGTGATACATAACTCAGAAAACCATTACTCTATTCATGAGGGCTCTATCTCTAAAAACTGTCACATCGTGGAATTATATTTCTAACAAATGAACTCTTGGTGTACACACACACACACACACACACACACACACACACAGAGAAACAAATGCACATGCATGCACCACATAGCCACGTCCGAAACATGACAGCAGGCACATGCTTGCTTATGATACTAGTCCTTGGGAAGCAGAAGCTGGAAAATTAAGAACTTTAGGTTAGTCGATGTTGCATTGCAAGATTCTGTCTCAAAACCAAATCAAATCAAATTAAAACAGAAGAGACTAATATATACTAATATATTAACATATGTATATATGCTAATTCATTAATCAAGCACTGGCAGCAACTGGTTTGCGCTTCTGTTTTCTCCTCCAGTATAAAACCAAATATAATCTTAGTGGAAAAAAACAGAGGAAATCGAGATTCAATTTGTTTTTGTTTTCTCTTTTTTATTTCTCTGCCTAATTAGCCTAGACAGATTGTCTTGGGTCTCATTTTTAACTCTTTGTTTATGACTTTTGTGTGTGTGTGTAGTAATAGTGGTTATGAAGAGAGGTGGGGCAGGGAATAAGAGAACAAGAAAAGAAGCAAAAAGAAATATCATTATTAGTGATGAGGCGAGCAAAAAATCTTCCATTCCTTGACCAGGAGTATTTTTAGAAACTGTCACCAAAGAACAATTAATCGTGAGTTATTCAATGCAGTCTAAAATCTGTTCAAAGAGTCAAAGAAGGATATTAGCTACATCCTATTTTCTGGTATTAGGGAACAGCTTACTGCTTTATTTGTAAATGTGTATGATAAACGTTTTTGTGGGCTGGGCTACAGCCCAGTGGGATATGCTTGCCTAGCCAATGCTGAGTGAGGCAGGGTTACATTATCCAGCTCAGCAAGGGAAAAAAAATCAAGAAAGCCCAAGGTGTCTTTATTTTGAATTACCTAGCTCCCATTAGTGGAATTAACATGAAGTCACAAGAACCTCCTTCTTTGTTCCAGTCAGTTCTGTTATATGCGTTGGTTCTTTTAGGTAGTGTTAAATTTTTGGTAGGTAGAGTACAACAGAGAGCATTAAAAATCCTTTTACATTTGCTGTGACACATGGACCCTCAGATCAAGTGACTCCCTGGCCACCCTGTTGGAAATAGTTATAAAATCTGGAAGTTCCGTAACATGCTTCCTATTTGGGTAGAGACAAACATGTCTGGAAACCTTACTGGAAGAAGCCAGAGGAGAACACGGATACAATGATATCGTTTTTAGTACTGGAGTTATCAAGGTGATGATTTAAGAACTTTTAGAATTTGATATAAATATTTAAAGTCTGAACTAACAGTCTCAAGTCATTTTTTTTCCCAAGTTGCATGCCCTTCAGATCACAGAACTGAGCAGTGACCTTCTACTTTTGTACCCTCCCATCCCTACTGTAATAACACTCTCCATCTCAAAGTGCGTGAGTGAAGCTTAGACGACGTGCTTGTGAATTTAGTCAGTTGTGAATCGGGAGTCTTAGAGTGGTATGCTTTATGATGAAATGTATTCTGACGTTTGCACTGTGGTCTTCAATATAAAAAAAGGAAACCTATATGTCCCTATGAATTCCATTTACCTGCACTTAAAGAAAAAGCTGACAGCAACCCAAAAGCAAACGGTTTCTGCAATCGTAAGATTTTTATTAAACAATCATGTCCCACCCTGCCCCTGTCCCCGATCTCTTCCTCCCTTGCTTTCTCCTCAGTCTCTCTTGAGTATCCGTGGCTCCCTGTTTTCCCCAAGACGCAATAGCAAAACGAGCATTTTCAGCTTCAGAGGTCGGGCGAAGGACGTGGGGTCTGAGAATGACTTTGCCGATGATGAGCACAGCACCTTTGAAGATAGCGAGAGCAGGAGAGACTCACTGTTTGTGCCGCACAGACCTGGAGAGCGACGCAACAGTAACGTTAGTCAGGCCAGTATGTCATCCAGGATGGTGCCAGGGCTTCCAGCAAATGGGAAGATGCACAGCACTGTGGATTGCAATGGTGTGGTTTCCTTGGTGGGTGGACCATCAGCTCTTACGTCACCTACTGGACAGCTTCTGCCAGAGGTGATAATACATAAACCAGCTACTACTGACACTTCAATTGAAATTTAAAAATCCAGGCCTGGGCAGTTGAGCCTGTTCTGTGATACTAATCCCTCCAAATGAAAGTGCTTAAATGTAACATGATTAAGTGAACGAAAAACACAAAACAAAACAAAAAACAAGCAAAAACAAAATCCCAAAACCAAACCAAACCAAAACCCAAACTTGACTTGTATGGAAATATTAGCTTTTTAAGGTTAAAAGTACTCAAAATTTAGAATCTGAGATAAAGCACAAATCTACAACTTCAGTAGATTTATTACAAATACAAAATAATGAGCACTTTCAAAATCAAATCTTTATTATTAATGTTTCCCTTAAATGATATAATCATCCATCAGGTCATATTCTGAAATGTTTGTATTAAAATTAAATATTGTAATGACTAATGTATTGACAATGGACAGTTTTAGACATCTGTCAATATATAGTGCTATTTGAAAAAATAGTTCAAAATAAAATGTGTTGATGAAATGGCATACGGAAATAAAGAAATCTCAGGAAAGCACACACATTTCATTGTCCATCTGTGTATGTGCATGGAAAAAATGGCCCATATATGTCAGTTTGTCCATATAGCCTCAAAGAAAATAATCCAGCCTTGAGACTATATAATAATATTTAATTTTGTGGAAAGATTGACTATTACTCACTGCTATAAGTTGAAGAACAATCTGTATTTGAATGAAAAACTAATTACAGCATGCTTATAAAAAATTTTCCCCCAAACGTTGCCATGTTGTTTAAAATGCTTGTGTAAAATAGTTGCTTTATAAAGTTGCATCCAGCCAGTGAATTCTCGTCAAAGGACCTGTGTTCTTTAAAAAACGTATTTATAGAATATGATAATCTATTCAATATCTTCATGTCTTATTATTACTTGAGATTGTTACCTGAAAACAAACAAACAAACAAACTTGCACGAAGCATGATTTTCCAGAGAGATTGCTATATATTCTTGTGTCATAGATGGAGAAGGGTGGTTTGAGCCATCAGTATTTGGTTGCAGGGTACCACCACTGAAACGGAAGTCAGGAAGAGGAGGCTAAGTTCTTACCAGATTTCGATGGAAATGCTGGAGGATTCCTCTGGAAGACAAAGAGCCATGAGCATAGCCAGTATCCTGACCAACACCATGGAGGGTAAGATGCAGGCTGCCAGAGTCTGCTTTAAATTGACCGTCTACTTTGAACACAGGTTCTTCTTGCAGACAGTCTAATTTATTTTCAAGTCTAAAATTGTGGTGTGTGTGTGTGAGTGTGTGGGGGGAGGGAGGGAAGGAGAATACATTTTTTCATATTACTTATAAAGACGAGTATTAACCTAGTTGTCTTTCATTTAAATTTTTACTTTGTCTGTAGGGTGACATGCCTCACCTTTGATATCATACCGTTGAAGATTTTTTCTAGTGTTATATTACCCAACAGAAAAAAACTCTTCCTTCTTTCAGCCTAGGTGTGTAAAGGTCAATGATGTCAGGGTTAGAGAGGGACAGCAATGAGTTGGACAAGGCCAAGCCTGTGTTCCATTCAAATGAGGGTCCCAAAAATGTGCCTTTTCCATCATCTGTATTCACAATTTTAAAAATCCTCTAAGGGACGCTTGATACAAACATTTGGTGATTTTATTCACTTTTTTAAAATTCCCATAAAGTTTCTTTTACAAGTTCTATTTGATAGTGATATATTGCATTTTTTGTTTCATTATTACTTATTTTGAGGTTGAATATTAAATCTAAAGTACTTATATTAAGAGGAAGCGGGTCAGTATCGGCATGTGTTTTAATGAACATTTTATGGATATCCATATGTAATAAGGTAAAATATATAATAAAATTGTTTTCTATACAGTCTATTAATCCCAGTACTGTGAATTTCTGTGCCCATGAATAAGCATGTTTTATCAAACAATATGTTATTTACCAGAAACAGTAATTAATTTTTTCTGTTATTTAATATTTTTCTACTTTATTACCCACCAGAACTTGAAGAATCTAGACAGAAGTGTCCACCATGCTGGTATAGATTTGCCAATGTGTTTTTGATCTGGGACTGCTGTGATGCATGGTTAAAAGTGAAGCATCTTGTGAATTTAATTGTGATGGATCCATTTGTTGATCTTGCGATAACAATTTGCATTGTGTTAAATACACTGTTTATGGCCATGGAGCATTATCCCATGACCGAGCAGTTCAGCAGTGTGCTGGCTGTGGGAAACCTGGTAAGTGTTATGGGGAGGGAGCACTGTAATAAAGAAAAGCCATCTGTGCTGTACTAAACTGAAAAATTAATCTTCTTTCTTCACAAGAAGAAACATCTAAAGAAATATTAGAGTGTCCCTCAGACAGAATAATTTCATCTGTGTTGAGGCTGGTTATGTAGGACAGTACCTTTGTAGGTTAACCATGATGTCTAATAGTTAACAGCTCCTTACACTGTAAAGGATTACATACCGGAAATGAAGGCTCAAAGGAAACATGAGATCCACGAGATTTGAATTTATAGGGTCTTCACACAACCCATATTGAATTGATGGCTGAAGAATCAATTTCTACTTTTAAAAGGCATAATTGTTTAGAAGTGAATAAGTTAATAAGAATCCTCAGTGGTAATCAACCAATAGAAAAATAATAATTGGTAAAATACATTTGTAGGATTTTCAGTATAGGAAGGTAAGTGATCATAAGGACGATTATACTAAGATGTATTCTGAAACAAGTAACCTACTGGTTTTTTCAGACTTTAAAACTGATATCAGTTATTCTGGTCTTTCCCGAATATGCGCAGAATTTGGTGTTGACAACATTGATTCCTTCTGTTATATTTCAAGATGAGTTGTAGTGTTCAAAATCATTTTAGCAGCCTATAGCATATCTATAACACTGTCCTTAGGCCTGTGTCTCACAAAATAACTCAGTATAGAGTTCATTGCCAATTATAAAGTACTGGTAAATATTTTGATATTTAATCTTCAGTAGGCAAATACCTGGATGCTTTATCTTTCTGTGAAGGCTGTTGCATTCCTGCAAGGCTCCAGGCATGGGTCTGACTGGGACAATGGGAGATGAAAGAAGAGTAACAGACACATGGACAAAGATTAGCTGGGATTTGGTGGAGTGGGCTTTTTGATAGAGAAGCTTCAGTCCCTGGAAGCTCAGTGTGTTTATTATATAGAGTTGAACAGAGAGGTGAAGTAGTTTCATATGGTTGAACAAGGAGGTCGGGTTCTGACGTGCAGGTAGACAACGAGGCAAGGTCATTACACACAGCTGAATCAAGGAAGCAGGTTTAGTCAATCTCAGCAGAACCAGTCTTTGTTGAGGAGCAGTCTTCAGATTGTAAACATAGGATAGGCAGAAACTATGGTGGATGTTTTCTGAACACACTGACAATGTCATGGACCGCACATGCATCAGAGGAAGGCTTTGCCCTTCTTTTGAGGCTTTCTCCCAGGACGAGGACTTTGCTCATTTTTTTCCCATGGTTCGGAGGCTAAGGTTCTTGACTTGGTGGTTCATATCAACAATACATATTCACTCAAGCCTTCATATACCCAGGGCTTCCTTTGGTCACCCACAGAAGTCCGTGGAAGAAAATCACCAGAAAACTTAAATATTTTTATCTATTTTATTTGGTTAGCTTCTTTTCTGAAACATTCAGTAGCAGTCAAAATGTGGAAAACTGCACCGTGTGAGAGTTTGACTATTCAAAGATGCTGTTTTCCTATTGAATATCTTTTCTGTTGAGCTACAGGAAACTAGTTGCTCTCTGGTTCACTAAGATACAATATTTATCATCTGTACTCACATCATATTATGTACTGCTATTTCCATGCTTATATCCGAGCCTTTTGTAGAACCCACAAATCATGATTATGAGTACACCTTAGAGGCATTTTGAGCATTAAAGCACATACAATAGAAAACCCTGCCCAGATCAGGATGCTCCAAAGCTCATTGCAAAAAGAAAAAATTTAAGAAGCAGTTTTATATTCCCCCCAGAGGACCTGAATTCATGTGTTTTGCTTCCCTCTGGGTCCTTGTCCTAGCATCATGGCACACCTGTAGTGCACTTTGGAATATAGAAGATGTTTAAGTGTCTATTGTCACACATAATTGACTATGAATACATTTATGTTTTATCCATCATTTTCACTCAGATGAGTTGAACTTGCCTTTGTGTCTTTGTACAGATGGACATTTTTCTCTAAGACCATAAACCACGGACATGCATGATAATTGTGCTGTCTGTAACCTCTGTGCTACATGAGTGTTTAATGTGTTAACCTTCTGCATTTAGACATAAATTTGTCCTTATAATTGAATGTGTCAAATCTAGTACTAATTAATACTTACCACTATAGGAAAGACAAGAAGAGAATCATAATGAGTGTCCTCATTTTCCTCCAATGAATCCTGAATACCTAAGGTCCAGAAATGTTCCCACAAATTATTTGGGATAAATTATTCTTTACTGTAGTTTCTGGAAAGTACTTTTTAACTGGGGCATATAACTCCTTTGTGGAGTCATAAAAGAAGGTGGATGCTGCTTGGCTTGTTAAGGCATGAAGATGATCACATTATTTTTTCTGATCAAAGAGCTCTATCCAGGGCTTTCAATTGCAAGAATCTCCAATTGTGACCAACAAATGTACTCTATGAAACAGTTTTTCTATCAGTTTTGCACTAGAAATTCCCAATCTTTAGGGACATAAAGTCTCCGATGAGGACCGTGCGTTCAAAATAAGGTGATCAGAAGTAGGCATGGGGACACACACTGAAAATCCAAATGATCAAGAGGCTCAGGCAGGAAGGACCACGATTCCTAGACCCGCATGTGCTACATAGTAAGATTCTGATTCAAAAGAAAAAAAAGAGAGATGGAGAGAAGAAAACAGGGAGGGAAGGTGGGTGAAAAGAAGTCCTAAGGTTCTTGATAGTTGGAAAGCATTTCAGAAGTTAAACCTTAAGCCTCAAAAGTTTCTTCAGTGTGAAGGGTGTAAAGGCTAATTCATTGTTTGTAAGGTAGATATCTATTTCCCCAAAATATTAGACTCTTTTTTTCTTCTGCCTAATACAACTTCACTCCTATTATCTCTTCCCTAGAGTTTCAACTTGATGGTTGAGTTCACATATATTATTAAATTAACATCTTCCTTTTACTATCCCAGTAGCACTTGAATGATGAGAATTGAGTTGCCTCATCAGACACAAAAGATGAAGGACCAAGCCTTGTGAAGGCTGGTGATGCAGCTGGGATGCAGAAACTGGTCTTGCGGGGGCAGTGCAAACATTTGCAGCATCTCTCAGCACTAGGGTAGCTCACATGTGGTACAACTCACACGACTTAATCAAAAAGAGATAAATTCCTTTTGAATTCCAGCACAAAGTTTTCAAGCTAGAACCATGTTGTACATATTTCATAGACATTCACTTTTTTTATAACCAGCCTCGGAAGGAGGACTAGGTGTGGCCATTTGAAAACATGGCCGTCCCCGAGTAGTCACACAGGTGGAGTAATTTATCCCTCCAGAAGGATGAAAAGGAATGTTGGGGAGACAGTGGCATAAATATACATACTTATAACTCACCTCATCCTCTCTGTACTGAATGATGAAGGAGAACACCCACCTTTTTCTTCAACTTTGACACCTATTGTGCTGTGATGCTGAATTTTTCCCGATTGTCCTTTTTTTTTTTTTTTTTGATCACATCAATCACTCCTTACATCATTTATGGTGCTTTTTCCTCAATATTTTTACATCCCAGCAACTTTAGGGATGATGCAGCATGAGCTTGACTCCTTTCTGTGTGCCCCGGTGACACAGATCATTGACCAAGGATTGCTTTAAGCACTGTATGGTCATAGCTGAATGCCCATCCTTCTCACCACTTATGAGAAATGCTATCATCCTCACTTCAATTTTGTGTCACATTTAACAGACCCTTCTAGCCACAAAGCTAAAATTGTTAAAGCCACTAGGACTTAACGTTTTCTTTATTCCCCATATCAACTTGATATGAAATCCATTATTTCTTCCTTCGGGGTATTTATCATTTACTCTTAAAAACTTGAAAAATATTTCTGGCATTCATGTCTTGTTTGCTTTATAACCCCCGTCAGCCACATCAGAAAAGCCTTGTCACAACACCACACAAATGCCACACTGAAGTTTGTGTATTTAAATAGTTGTCTGCTCATTGGTTTCTACAGCCACATTTAGAATGTTCTCGCATCTCAATTCAGATTCTTCCAAGTTCCTCTTTCTTGTCTTTCTCTTCTGTCATGTATTCAGCCCACATTAAGCAACTTTACCTTAATCCCTAATGAATTTTCTTATACCAGAAGGTGTGGGTTTTTTCATCTGTTATGAATTTCTCAGTGGCAGACCCTGCATCTGTTTTTGTTTTGTGTCTCTCACTGACTGTGTCTGCATTGTAGTTCCTCAATAAACAAATGACTGGGTATTTCTGCTCCCAAAGAGGCTGCTTTGGGAGTCAGGCTTTTGTAAAAATAACACTCACTTTAGAGTCAACAGCCAGTAGGTTATAACTGTCACTGTAGATGAATAATATTCTCTCTGGAAAGGTACAACACTCTGAGCTTTGTTCTTTTCTTGTTGAAATGGGTGTCATGATGCCCATCTCTGAGGCTGCAGTACAGGTCAAATGAGGTAAGCTGAAAGAATCTAGCAGTGTGCGAGCATCCAGCACGCGCTCACTGAGCTGCTTCCTTCCTCCCACATGCACACCATTAACCTCTTGAACCTTTCATTGAAGTGTCGATGGAAAATATTTCTGCTCTTAGCCCTTATGTTTTTCCCAGGATATTGGGATGTTGGGGAAATTGAATAAATGAGGAATATTTTCAAAATTTTCCAGAATATAGATGGAAATTGATTTTTTATGATCTTTCAATGTTGAAGCTGATGCATATGTATGTATGAGGATGATACAATTTGGATGGTAGGATAATCAGGTGGAAAAGCAGAAGTCAAAAGAGCTTCAAGTCTGAGTCTTAATGAAAGAGTTCACTTGTCCTAAATTATGCATCATAGATGATAAATGGTCAAATTTTGTTGTGAGTTTATTGAAGCTCCCAATGCAAGATCATTTCAATAGGTTAGCCTATGTTTCTCAAATAACTATGTAGTGATTTATATATGAAACCATAAACGTGTAGGCTAAGTTAAGAACAAAAGACTACAAAAGGGTTATGGAATCTTCTGACTTGACTTTGATCAAGGAGTTCACTTTTCTGTAGTTTCTTTCTACAATACATAAACATTACATTCCTTCCCAGATGATTGGATTGGTTCAATTCGAGTATCCGGAAACATAAAATTCTCTGTTGAGTCTCTTTCTGCTACTCCATATTTTCACAGGATGTTGTCTTTTGGGTTGTTTGTTTGTTTTTCTGGCCATTTTAAAATTCAAGCTCCTAGTACAGGGATCCTATAAACCAGTCTATGCATCATATTACGTTAAAGAAGCTTTTCCTTAACAAGTTATCTGACAGTACTAAAACTACAGAAAAATACAACAGCATTACCAGTGCTTTGGGGACCTAAGTTAGAAACATTTAAGCAAAAAAAAAAAAAGAAGAAAAGAAAGGAGAAAGGAAAAAGAAAAGAAGAGAAGAGAAAAAGAAACATTTAAGACAAATGTTTGTAATTTTGAAGTGAGAATGTTCATTCAAACATTGTTAAGGAGAAGTTTCATGGTGGCATTACATTTTGGATGAAAGCTCGACTCTGATGTATGCATTTGCTAGCTGTGGGAGAGAGAGCCATCTCAGCAGAACCAAAGAGTTTAATTTTTATTTTCTGTAGGAAAAAATATTGAAGATCCTTTAGCTAAATAGTTCCTAGTTTGTCTTAAAGCATTTCTATCACCAAGATGCCTATTTTAAATAATATCCGCCTCTGAAGGTTTTACAGAAATCGAATTCACTTGAGTTAGAGACCATTTGAAGTTCACCAGGGAAACTATTTGTATAAATAAAATAAAATAAAATCCCATGGTGAGCTACTGTATCAAATGAAAACATCATTTTTCAAATGTATCCCACATAGCTTACAATATGTATTTTACTTTTATATGAGTGACATAACTAACAGCAGTTTATATATGTTTCTGAAACGAGTATTTCCTTTAAAAATATTTGTACAATTTAAAAATGAGATATTGGCTATATTTCTGCATTTATAAGAGTGCCTCTGGATATTTAAAAAGAAATACGATGTTTTAACATATCAAACGATTCTAGTAAATTTATTTTGACAGAGCTTCTTCAAAGGCTGACTTGCTTTAGTAACTTTGACTTTACCATCATAAAATAGACCCTTTACCTATAAAGAATTAGGATGACTATTTAAAAAGATTTTGGCAGGAATAATTAACACACAACCCATCATGTGCTTCCATTTTCATTGCCTGTGGTTTCAAGTTTGAAATCAATGTTTAATGTGCTCTGTTTTATTTGTTTTGATTGTCAAATACACATTTCCTCTATTCTCACCATAGTATTCTTAATTATGGATGTGTAATACTGAGGGTATCCTCCTGCTTGTTCCAATTAAATTGCAGTTCCTTTCTCTATTAATCCATTAACCTTAATTCTGAGGCAGGCAGCCAGAGACCATTATTACAAAACATTTGCGGCAGACACTCTTATGTTTCAAGAATGTCTGTAAAATACAGAAACAAACTGCAACCCATTAAAGAAAACTACAAAATTTACAAGTAAAATGTATATATATATTTTACCAATTTTAAGTAATTTTTAGACTTCCAATAATATGTGGATTTATTCCCAATAATGCATTTTGCACCATTTTTTATAATATTACAAAAAAGTAAATGTGCTGTTTTGTAGCCACATAACGTATCACAATGATGATAATGCCAGAGCTATTATCCAGACTCAGACTGAAAACGTGCACAGTGAAAGGTTTTAAAGTTTGTTTTCCCTAGAAATCCAGCTGATTTGTTAAATAAGACAAATCTATTCAGCACAATGGCAGCTTGTGAGGACATTTCTAAGTCTATATTGATTTGTTTTGTTTAGAGGTCAGATGTTTGTATTTGCTATGGTTTAGCGCTCTTGGTGATTCCTGCAACATCCGTGCTCAGCGCTGCTCAAGCGTCTCTCTCTGTTTCCCTCCAGGTCTTCACTGGGATCTTCACAGCCGAAATGGTCCTTAAAGTCATTGCCATGGATCCCTATTATTATTTCCAAGAGGGCTGGAATATTTTTGACGGAATTATTGTTAGCCTGAGTTTAATGGAGCTCGGCCTGGCAAACGTGGAGGGGCTGTCTGTGCTTCGGTCCTTCAGACTGGTATCTCCTGCTCTTCGTGTCCCGTCTCTCATTAGCATAGCATTCAGTTTTAAATGTGTGTTTATATAATTATCATAGTCTGTGAAATAGAATTTTAATTACACAAGTCAATATCCCCAGGAAATGTACAACCATGACCTTTCAAGATAAGCATAATCTACTTTCTAGAATAATAAATAATGACTGAAATAGTCTACAATTCAATATGTATGAGACGTTAAAAAAAATATATATGCCCCTTCTAAATTAGTTTTATACTCTGAAACTGTTTTCATTGTATATGTGTGAGGTGAAGAAAGAAAATGGAAAAGAAGAAATTCTTTAATTTTAAGAAATTAAAAAACATTAAGCTCCAGTTAATGTCAGGAATTTAATCAACTCTACTCTTATTAGAGGAACTACTTTAAAGCATGTAGAAGCTGGGAATAGTGGTGTATATCTCTAATACCAGTACTTGGGAGATGAAGTCAGAAGAACTAGTTTAGATTTACCCTCAGATATAACATGAGTTTGAGGCTAGCTTGGACTACATGAGATTGTGTCTCTAAAACAAAACAAAACAAATTCAACACATAAAAAAATGTTTGATATATTTGGTATTTTAAATAATGATATCACAAAATGTTTTGAATTCTAGCAAAAATAATTGCTAAAAGTACCTATATTTTGTTTGGAATTATATATACATTTCAATTATACATAAAAAGTATATGTACATTTCAAATTGAACAAAAGCTTCTAAAAATCGAATTATCTTATTTCACACCTCTTTTAAGAAAAAGAAAATGTATTCCATATTTTCAATGTTCCTTTTCATTTTTAAGAGTAGAATCTGAAGTGACAGTTGATGCATTAACAGTGTCTGTTATAGTAAAGTAGTAATTTTTCATAGGGAAATCTAAAATGAGAATCAGTACGTCTAAAATGAGAATTATAAAGAAAAAATGCGTTTAAATGATATGACTTGATTTATAACTCTAATGTTATCATTACCCTTTTGTTTTGAATCTACATTATGATCTACTCATAAAATAATAATCTGGCTCCCAAGCATACTACATTTCCTTTTATTTCATTACAGCTACGAGTCTTCAAGTTGGCAAAATCCTGGCCCACACTGAATATGCTCATTAAGATCATCGGCAACTCGGTGGGCGCACTGGGCAACCTGACCCTGGTGTTGGCCATCATCGTCTTCATTTTTGCCGTGGTCGGCATGCAGCTCTTTGGAAAGAGCTACAAGGAGTGTGTCTGCAAGATCAACGAGGACTGCAAGCTGCCGCGCTGGCACATGCACGACTTCTTCCACTCCTTCCTGATCGTGTTCCGTGTGCTGTGTGGAGAGTGGATAGAGACCATGTGGGACTGCATGGAGGTCGCGGGTCAGACCATGTGCCTTATTGTGTTCATGTTGGTCATGGTGATTGGGAACCTTGTGGTACGTATGTACCGCAGATCTTTGTGAATAAGAGTTTGGGCCTTAGGAAATACAATGGTTTCAGCAGTAAATATCTCTCCAATTTTACTGCCAGCAGCTGAATGTCAAATCCCCCTACAGGCAATCACTAAAAGACCATCTTATTTAAATTCTCTGAAGTCGGAGCTCCCTGCCTGTGACCATGGGGTAAAAACGTACATGCTATGGAGGATATGAGGATTAGAGGTGCATTTAAAGCATGCTTGGCGGTTGAAAATACTGTTCATGTCAAGAAAAATATATTTCCTCATCTAGACTAACCGTAACCTGATATTATTTTCATATGATAATCTCTTTAAACCCTAAAAATACAACTACCTTTCACATGTTCATAATTCACATTGAGTTACTTAAAGGTGTGGATAAGACACAAATTTTAAAGACAAACTTTGAAGAAATAAAGTATTCTCCTTCAGCCGTGGTTTATAATTACTGTAGGGTATAAAATATGTTCTTAACTGAATTTACTTTATTAAAGTAAATAACAAGGTAGGATGAATAATTACGCACATACAAACATGTATGTATGTACATGCAAGCCTACACAGAAAAGAGTCAAACAAATACAACATACACACACACGCAGAGGAAGAGAGAGAGACAGAGACAGAGATGACAGAGAGACACAGAGAGAACAAATTTTAAATACTTACTTTAAGACATTCCTTAGACTTTAGAAGAGGATGGACAAACTGTCTTTAGTTGCTTACCCACAGCTGAGCCTCCTTAACTCCAAAAAGCTATGGCAATGGCAATGTTCCAGTTAATCACGTTGGATAAAAGGAATAGATTTGAATGAAAAAGAGAGATTTGGGGGGAGAAGACAGATAGATAGGTGTAGCAGGGGTGGGGATGGGGTGGGCGTGGTCAGTGTGTATTGTATACATGAACGAAATTGTCCAAGAACAAATGTAAATGATTTTTAAAGTCCTAACATAAAAGTATGTGTTTTAATACTTAAATTCCTGAACCATATATGGGTATGATAAGTACCTACACAGTCATATAAAGTCTTCCTTTTGAGGGGTATACTTCAAATAATGCTCAAAAGAATGATAGTGGGACATACACATTATTTTCTTAAAATAGAAAATTAGATAGCCCTAAATTCAGAACAAAATATGATGTTTAAACAGAGAACAACCCAGAGATACTAGTTTGCATTTATCCTCCTACTACATGAGGAAAGTCAGTAATTACATTTTAGGCTAAAAATATCCCTGTGCGTAAATAATATCCTTTTACATCAGACTTTATGAGTTATCCCTGTAATAGCCACAGACCAGCAGGTATCCCCTGCTGTGAGTCACAACGAACAAATCTAAAGAGAGAAGGGATTTGTATTATATGAGTCTGGCTGAACCTTAGAACGTTTTAGACTTTTCGACACTATTTGAACACCCAAATTTTAAAGTATGCTGGATGGGAACTATATTAACCCTTGTGTAATTTGCTGTCTCTGCTGCTACAGTTTGTAGCCATGGGACCAAAGAAATCTGTTTCTACTACATATTGGTTTTGTACAAATTAGCGGATTATTAGATAGACTGATTATTTGTACACATGTAGCTAGACACTCCATGGACAAGCCTGATAATGAAAATGAAAATAGCATGTTTTGTGGGTATGACAAAAGTCATTGAAACTAGGATTTTTGTCTTCTCACTGGCAAGTCTGGATAGACTTGATTTAATTGTTTCTTTTCTTCCCCCTGCTATTCTCAGTGGAGAGGGGCTTCTGAGTTACTATTCCCCTTTACCACGGATAGACATGATCATGCCCTTCCAATATTGTGTGACTTTAATGTGGAGCCTGATGTACACTAATCATTCAAAAGCATTTCATAAAACCACTGTAGCAAAGATCTGAGCTCCACTTACTGACTCCTCTTACCCGTGTGTCAGTTTTAACATGGACCTTTTTCTCTTTTGTCTTTAGGTTCTGAACCTCTTTCTGGCCTTATTGTTGAGTTCTTTTAGTTCAGACAACCTTGCTGCTACAGATGATGATAATGAAATGAACAACCTCCAGATCGCAGTGGGAAGGATGCAAAAGGGGATTGACTATGTGAAAATTAAGATACGGGACTGCTTCCGAAAAGCATTTTTTAGAAAGCCAAAAGTGATAGAAATTCACGAAGGCAACAAAATAGACAGCTGCATGTCCAATAACACAGGTGTTGAAATAAGCAAAGAGCTTAACTACCTTAAAGATGGCAATGGAACCACCAGTGGTGTAGGTACCGGAAGCAGCGTGGAGAAATACGTAATCGATGAAAATGACTACATGTCATTCATCAACAACCCCAGCCTCACTGTGACTGTGCCCATTGCTGTGGGAGAGTCTGACTTTGAGAATTTAAATACAGAAGAGTTCAGCAGTGAGTCAGAACTGGAAGAAAGCAAAGAGGTAAGCGTGCTTTTCAGTTCAGGCTGCACTTTTTGCATTATCCATGCAGTATGGCTACTCTGTATTATTTTTGCCTGTAGGTGCTTTATCAACAGAAATTAATGAGTTGGGTATATAACTAAAGGGTAAGATAGTTTTAGCATGCACGAGGTCCTTGAGTACCCAACAGCACACACAAAAACAGGTTAATATCGTAGGATAATGTTGGAACATCATGACAAACAGGTAAGTTCATTTAATTATAGCTTTCCAAGGGAAATCACAATTTGAATGATTAAAATGTTCATTTTCTTGATAACTTGAAAGCCTGGTTTAAAATGTAACCCTAAACAAAAGAGATACTATTTAACACCTTTTCCCTCATTAGTTATTCATTTTAGAAAACTCAATGAACTATATTTTAACCGTGGTGTGCCATCATTGTGAAAAATTTATGTAGTCTTTATTCACATTTAGTATTTCATTTATCATAAGAGTACATTATCTATGAAAGTACTGTGTTTACTAGGAAGGGTCAAGCCATACTGATACTTTTCCTATCAAAGATATGTTCTATATTACCTTGAAAATACTGAGAAATAACATTTGAAGATTATAGTGAATTTTTAGATGGGAAATTTACTCTCATGTGTGTAGTTGATAGAATGAACAAAGAAAATTTTCTTGTGCTATGATTTGAGCTCATTGGGTGTAATGACAGTAGCTTAGTAGCATTACTTCAATTAAAATATTTTATTATTATTCATTTATGGCCTTTGGACGTAACAGCTGGAAGTTAATCTAGCACAGATGGTGTTATAAAAGATCTTTAGCTGGAGGGGATAACATCAACACCCCAGGAATCAGACCAATGATGTTTGATTTTGTGAATTCTCTTGGAGCCTTTGAAAACCAGTTATACCAAGATAATTTGCTCTAAAAGTCCTTATTAGAAGTTTATGGCATCACAACTCACAGTGGTCACATTCTTTTCGTATTTTAGAATGTGTTTTAAAACTAAAAAATAAGAACAAAATGAAGTAGCAATGTTTATATTCAGAGTTGTACACAAATTGTGTGTAGTACATCTAATTTATGTCACTCATCCTAGTGACTAAGACTCAGTTCTGTCTTTATTTTGTGTCACCTGGCATGGGTTGACTTAAAAAGAAATACTAAAGGACTAGCAGTCATTCATTGATTACTTTGTTCAGTTTCGTCAAAGACAGTCTTTATCACGTGGTTCCTAACAAGCTCAGATGTCACTAAAACTATTTCAAAGTTTGGTCTTACAGGCCTGCTTTAAATTCTTAGGCGTTTAAGAATGGGATGAGAGATTAAATGAGAGAAGACTGAAATAGGCCTCATATTTGGGTCACATCATAAAAAGTGAAAAGATATTGTTCTACAGAGGGAGAGTCAGGGTTGATGATGAGCTCCTAATCCTGAGGTGAGTGGAGAGCAGGGCACAGTGCAAAGGATGTGTGGGTGTGTCTGGAAGCTTCAGACTGCAGCCTTTCAAAGTAAGTCAGAATTGGCTGCATGGTCACGAAGGAGTCCTCCGAAACAGAAGCAATTAGCAAGGGGTATCTTAGAACATCTGTTATTAAAGAGCAAAGGATCTTAGGCTGAGAGATAATGGAGACTATCTTACACATTTTATAGCAATGAGATGTTGACATTCTGGGCTAAACTAAAAAGAGAACTGAGAGTAATTGGCAATTTAACAGACCTCAAAAATCTGAGGAATCAGACAAGTGGCAATTCTGCTGCCTGATAAGGTCTTCTGAGAAAGGTGACCAGGTTTGTGTAGAAAGAGTTAGATTAGATTCGGAGTTGAAGTTTTGCATATCATACCCATAGATTCTGCTTACCAGGGTTCATTCAAACTCTGAATAAAAAGATCACCCAAAAACATGCCTACTGAATAGATACATACTGTTTTCCCATTGTTCCCTAAAAGAATGAAGGGTAATAATTATTTACATTGTATTTTGTACTATAGATAATCTATATACAAGATTATTGTATATGTTAATGCATGGACTACAAATACTACACCAGTTTCTATACAGGACTTATACATCTGTTGGTTTGGATTTTGTAGAGTCCTGGAACTGATTCCCTGTAGAAAACAAGGGATGGTTGGGTTCAAGGTAACAGTGTTGGTCAGAGTCAGAGGTCAGAGCTAAAAGTAGACTAAATAATGCTAGGCTTAAAATTATTTGATTCCCTGAAAAATAGGAGAGGTCAAAAAATAATTATAAGGCAAAAATATAGTAAAGCTAAGGACAGAATTGCTTGGCTAGTGTAAGGTTAAGAAATGACAGAAAAGCCAAAGCAAAACAAAGGAACTTCTATTACATCAGTAACAGAGACTGATATCAGTGGCCTTATTAAGAATAAATACCTCCATTTGTTTCTGTCAAAAACTGCTTTGAATATATTTCAAAGCTTCCTTAAGATCCACAGATATTTCTTTTTAATGGCTTAAACATCTTAAAGCTTAGAATATTAAGATATAATTTGTCATTCATCATCAATTCCTGGAAAACATTTGTATCCTCCACAAATTATTCTTGAGTAATTTCTATAATTCTATACCCTTTCAACCTAGTTTTGAATAGATGAAATCCAGTTACAGAAGTTAATGACATTTTTAATATATAAATGTTAGTAGGAACATCACCAAAGTAAACATAAGCATATACATACATACTTTGCTAGATTTTGAAATGATCATTAAAAAACAATATTAAATATTGTTTTGGTGTGTGACTGATGAGATGCCTCAGAGATTAAGAGCACTTGCTGCACTTGCAGAAGACCTACAGCACTCTTCTGAGGAATCAGAAGATTCCCAGAACATACATGATAGGTAACATCTATCTCTTACTCCAGTTACAAGGGATCTGACACGGCACTGGACTCCAAAGGCACTGGATGGTTCACATCCATAAGTACAGGAAAAACATTCACATACAGAATATTAATTATTTATATATATATATATATATATACATACATATATATATATGAGAAGATGGGTGGTAGGGAGGTGAGAGAGGATCTGGGTAGGGATGGAATAGGATCAAAATTCAATGTATTAAATTCTTAAAGAATAATCAAAACATTATGTATGTTTCTTGATATCATGTTCCATTTAATAAACAATGAAGTTTTCATTTATTCAACATTAAATTTTATGTGGATAATATATTTAAGTTAGTACCATAAAAACTTTGCAAAAGCAATAGGAAAATTCTCATATATGCTCAGAGACATCACATGACATAGAACTTTTAAAAACAATAGCAAATATTGCTATACACAAACATTACAGGGCAGATTTAGCTAAATTCTACCTAAGTGTACTTAACATATTCACCACCCTGACAGGAGCGCGTGCACACCCACACCACATATACACACACACACACACCCCACACACACATACACATATACACACACCACACACACACACAAGTGTTATTTTCATTTGTTTTGTTTTGTTTGTTTGTTTGTTTGTTTGTTTTTTGCTAGTTTCTGGACCACAGCTGAAGTAAAGCATTGAGTTCTACTTTGGAGAGCATGTGATATCCTTTGGTTTTGCTTACAGAGTAAGCAATCATTAAGCTGAACACAACAGAGTTTTAATACATTTATCCTTAAAACGAGAAAACATTTCTAAATTGAATACATTTTCTTACTACATTAGGTAGTAAACCAATCAACTTATATGATTTGAAAACCTGAGTTACTCAAGTATTTCCACTCATTTCTGTAATAAAATATGACTAGAACTGATGCCAGAGATTCATAATCCCTGATATAGATATAAACTCTAGTATTATACGCATTACCTAATGTGTACTTCATAAATGTGTTCATTATATGCGTATGTATATGCCACTTATATAAACAGACTGGTATGGAAACAAACTCAAAGCTTTGCATGAAAAAACATTGAAGACAGGAATTTCAAAATACATCTATTTTTAACTTAAGGAAACTCGAATTTCTGCAAAAAGTGTAGCATTCTCTAATGTACCATTCTGTTTTTTATGGTTTTAATGTTCACATAATCATGATGACTATAGATCTGTCTAATTTAATGTTTAAAGGATTACTGGCTTATCTTCCGAAAGGAAAGATTTAGAATGTATGCTTTCAATGACCACGTTATTAGCTGAATTCCAAATTCAGTCTAGCCATAGCCTACCATGACCTTCACTTCTGACCGTTCTTACTTCTCACAGGGGTGAGACCAAGCTGGCGCCATCAAGAATGCCGCTCTGGTGTTTTTTAAGCATCCAGAGGTTCGAGCCACCACTTTTACCCAGGTTACCCAAGCAAGTTGTGCTCGTACACTCACTTCCTAAATGAATTTTGACTGGCCTGCATGCTCTGCAGCTATAATCCTTCCCCTGCCGCGGCAAGGAAGTGCAAGGCTGGCCCAGCTGCTCTCTGCTGAAGCGTGTGACACATCACAGCATGGTCAGGCGAGATGGGCAGTCCCAACATCATACTGAATTCTGTTGATGGGCTTTCCACTTTAGTCTTTTAGTTTTTAAAACAGAAATAATTGCATGCCGGATAAGATTTGCCACAATATATCAATTTTAAACCTACTAGAAATGCTTACAATTCGATACAATCAAAGACTTAAGAGAGCATGCATATTTGTAATTTCTGTTTTTATTTCATTACAAATAAGACCACAGCTTTTTGTTATTGATGATTCAGCCCTTATACGTAAACTGTGCCACCAAAATAAGCCTCAAGTGATTTGTATTTGTGTGTGCATGTGCGTATGCGTGTGCGTGGTGTGTGTGTGTACGTGTGATAATACTGCCATTTTCAATTATTATAATCAGATCAATGAATTTTACTTTCAACTGAACCAATTCCCGTGCTCCAGATGGAAATGTTTGCTCTCATGCATTCAGAAAGGCTCTATAAAAAGCAACAGGGGAGTAGTGGATCTTGATGAAACCAGATATTAGTCTGAATATGCATTT